TTTTTTTTTTTTTTTTTTTCTTCTATAACCCTGTGCTGGGAAGCCTTAATTCTTTCAAGTATTCTTCTCCGCATCCTTAAAACTCATCTTATTATGGATTTAGTTTCTCCTATTTATATATTTATGTAGTTATAATTCTCCTTAAAAAAAAAATAAAAAAGAAAAGAAAACCTGGATTTGAGTCCCATCTTCCCTTTCTTCTCCTTGGAACTCATCTTTTAACCCTCTTTCCTTACTACTCAGATTTTCTTTCTTTGTGAAAAAGTTCTTTTGTCTTTTCTTTCCTCTCCTAGAATCTTCCTTTTTCCTGCTTCAATCTGGTTTGCTGGCAGTCTTAACCTTTTGCACTGCAGTAAGCTTAGACTTTCTTTAAGCTGCTTTCCCTAGTTACTTACATTGTTTTCTGTAGTTCTATGCTGTGTGCTTTCTTAAGTTTTCTTTTTTTCTGGAAGCTATTTTTGGTATCTTAAGACAGTTTGTATGGAAAGTAAATTTGAGTCTGTGCAGTTCAGAGTATGCTACTTTTCTTTTTTTTTTTTTTTTTTTTGAGATGGAGCCTTACTTTGTTGCCCAGGCTGGAGTGCAGTGGCGGGATCTCAGCTTGCTGCAACCTGAGTTCAATTGATTATTGTCCCTCAGCCTCCTGAGTAGCTGGGACTACAGGCGTGTGCCACCCCACCCAGCTCATTTTTGTATTTTTAGTAAAGATGGAGTTTTGCATATTGGCCAGGCTGATCTAGAACTTCTGACCTCAAGTGATCCACCCACCTTGGCCTCCCAAAGCACTGGGATTACACACTTGAGCCACTGCTCCCAGCCCACAGTATGCTACTTTTCTGTCCTCACACATGATTGATGGTTTGACTGGGTATAGAATTTTATGTTAATAATTCCCCTAGGAATTTCGAAGATATTACTCCATTTCCTTCTAGCATCCAGAGTTTTGGGGCATTCTTTATCTAATTTGCTATTCTTCACATACCTTGCTATTCTATTTCTTGTTCCATTAACTTGAAGGCTGGCCTTTCCCCCAACTCCTGGCAGCTTGAATTTTACCAGTGTGGCGTGCTGTGGATGTTGCAGTGGGACACTTGGGGCTGTTTTAGTTGGAGACTTGATTTTGGGTTTATTCTTGGAGCTTCTCTGTTTTTCTCTTTAGAAGGCCTATTATTTGGGTATCAAACCTCCTAGATTAATCTTACAGGTTGCTATGGAAATAAGTATTTTTCATCTTAAGTTTTTTTTCTTCTTTCTGGGAGATTTCTTATCTTCCAAGCTTTCTTGCTGAATTTTATTTTCATAGTTGTATTTTGGAATTTCAAATACCTCTTTGTTTTTCTGTGTTCTCTTTTCATGGCATACCGGGTTTCTTTGTTGGGTATCTTCTCTCCCCTTGCCTTGTGTCTGTGGCCCTGCAGAGGGCCATTTGTTTCTGTGTGTTTTGGATTCATTCATACTGGATGCTTCCCTGAGTCCAGGGGTCCTTGATACTTGGCTTGTGTTTAAGAGCACAGCTCTTAGAGCTGCCTGCAGTCATGGGTGGGGGAGGCTTGGTTACCCAGCCTTCTTTGCATTAGAAGGTCTGATTGACCATTGGCCACTTAATTGGGGGAATCTCCAAAAGATGCACTGGAGAAGTTTTTCCTCTGGGCACTTCAGGAAGCATCCTTTGATTCCTCTGGGCCAATGTTCTGCATGAGGGGACAGGGAGTGGTAACTCCCCTAGGGAGATCCCCCTCCCTCCTCTCACCTGGCACAGAAATCTGACCTTTTAACCTGCCTACCTGTGTTCAGCTTGTCATTTAACTTCAGTGGAATCTAGTACCTCCTCTCTTGGGTTTTGGGCTTCTTTCCTCATCCAGTTCCTCCTGGCTGCATTGTGGGATATGGCTTCTTCCTCTCAGTCAAGAGTAAGAGTAGTGGACATCTCTGGGGTTACTCTGTAGTCTGATCTGTCCTCTGAGGCCATTGATGCTCCTGTCACTGTAGCACTGTGAGTGGGGGGTGGGTAGCTAGCTCGTAGGTAGCAGGACTGGGATTTGAACCCAGGTCATGTGATGCCAGTATACTGCCTCCTTCACTGCTGCTCTTACTCCTCTTTTGCAGATGTCCTCATCTTATTTATTTGATATCTTTTTAAAAGAGAGGAAATAAAGGAGTGCATTTAGTCAGCTAGCTAGCTTTTTTCTTTTTTTGTTGAGACAGGGTCTGGCTCTGTCACCCAGGCTGGAGTTCAGTGGTGCGATCTTGGCTTACTGTAATGTCTGCCTCCCAGGCTCACACCATCCTCCTTCACCTGGCACAGAGATCTGATTGATCTTACAGGTTACAGACTCCTGAGTAGCTGGGACTACAGGTGCACACCACCACACCCAGCTAATTTTTGCATTTTTGTAGAGACGGGGTTTTGCCATGTTGCCCAGGCTGGTCTCGAACTCCTAAAGTCAAACAGTCTGCCCGCCTTGGCCTCCCACAGTGCTGGGATTACAGGTGTGAGGCACTGTGCCTGGCCTGGTTGGCTTTCTTTCCCAGTCAATTTTGAACCGTACCTGAGTCTCTTTTAAGTTAGTTTCTCTCTTTGGCATGTGGCATGGTAGGGATAAGAAGTGTACGAGTTATTTTGAGGTTAACAGGCTCAGACAGCACCAAGGAAAACAACTGCAAAACATCAATAGAGTTGCCTAATTTCATCCCAGATTCTAACTTTCATGTTCTAACATTTTATTTTAAAAACTAGGTCAGAAAAAGAGTGCACGCCAGTATCACGTACAGTTCTTTGGTGACGCCCCAGAAAGAGCTTGGATATTTGAGAAGAGCCTTGTAGCTTTTGAAGGAGAAGGACAGTTTGAAAAATTATGCCAGGAAAGTGCCAAGCAGGCACCCACGAAAGCTGAGAAAATTAAGGTGATAGATGACCCTTCAGTCTAATTTTAGACCAGAAATTTAATTTTTATTCTTTAACTTATTTTTTGTTTTGAACTTATACTTGCTCAAAATATTGTAATGGCTTAACAGTCTCTTTCATTGTTGACTTTTGCCCAAGAATGCCATGTTACAATATTAAAGTTTCTTTAGAGACACAACTTATTTTTTTGCTCATTTGATGACTCCCAGAGATAATTTGTTTTAGAATTTTTATTTTTCTATATATACATATATGGAGAGATTATATTAATGTAACGTGATTGGAATTGGTTTCTGGTTTAAAGAAACAATAAAGGTATTATGTTGGGCTGAATTGTAAAATTGGTTCTTATAAGTTTTTTTATTTTCTATTTAAAAATTTTTAAAAAAATTTTTTTGAGATGGAGTTTCACTCTTGGTACTCAGGCTGGAGTGCAATGGTGCAATCTCAGCTCACTGCAACCTCCGCCCCACCCCCCGGGTTCAAGCGATTCTCCTGCCTCAGCCTCCCAAGTAGCTGGAATTACAGGTGCCCGCCACCACGCCTGGCTAATTTTTGTATTTTTAGTAGAGATGCGGTTTCACCACGTTGGCCAGACTGGTCTCAAACTCCTGACCTCAGGTGATCTGCCAGCCTCGGCCTCCCAAGGTGCTAGGAGAGCCACGCCGGCCAAGTTTTTTGTTTCTAAACTTATGTGAAAATGTGAAAGTGTTCTTTTTTTTTTTTTTTGAGACGGGGTCTTGCTCTGTCGTGCCAGGCTAGAGTGCAGTGGTGTGGTCTTGGCTTACTGCATCTGCTGCCTCCCGGTTCAAGTGATTCTCGTGCCTCAGTCTTCTGAGTAGCTGGGACCACAGTCATGCACTACTATCCCTGGCTAATCTTTTGTATTTTAATAGAGACAGGGCTTTGCCAGTTGGCCAAGCTGGTCTTAAACTCCTGGCCTTAAGTGATCTGTCTGCCTCGACCTCCCAAAATGCTGGGATTACAGGCATGAGTCACTGCGCCTGGCAAAAGTATGCTTCTGTAAAGTGAGTTAACTTTTATGTTTGTGTAATGAAACTTACGGTGTCTTTTTTTTTTTTTTTTTTTTTCTCCCAGCTATTGAAACCTATTTCAGGGAAATTGAGGGCCCAGTGGGAAATGGGTATTGTTCAGGCAGAAGAAGCTGCAAGCATGTCAGTGGAGGAGCGGAAAGCCAAGTTCACCTTTCTATATGTGGGAGACCAGCTTCATCTCAACCCTCAAGTAGCCAAGGAAGCTGGCATTGCTGTGGAATCTTCAGGAGAAATGGCAGAATCCTCAGGAGTTAGTGAAGAAGCTGCTGAAAACCCCAAGTCTTCAGCAATGCCCAAGAGAGAAGAGGGCATTCCCATGAAGAGAAGGCGGAGGGCCAAACTGTGTAGCTCTGCGGAGACCCTGGAGAGTGATCCCGACCTAGTGAAGAGTACTCCTCAAAAGACAGCAGAGGCTGACCCCAGAAGAGGTGTAGGGTCTCCTCCTGGGAGGAAGAAGGCCACAGTCTCCACACCACGAAGCAGGAAGGGAGATGCAGCATCCCAGTTTTTAGTCTTCTGTCAAAAACACAGGGATGAGGTCAGTACCCTGATGGGTTCTAAGTTATGTTTCATACTAACAAGTTTCTGAATTTGAGGAACATCCCTTCAGTGCAGAATCATCTGTTTCTCAGCATTATCAGGAAATCTATAGTGAGCCTTGCATAGATTTTAGATCTAATAAATAAGTATTATTAGGGAACAACCATTCTGACCCTTGAGGGAAAAAATACTTCACTTGCACTCTGGGTTCCTAAAATATCCTTCCTAATGTGGATAAGAAGATACTGGAAACAGGCCAGGCATGGGGGCTCATGCCTGTAGTCTCAGTACTTTGGGAGGCTGAGGCGGGAGGATTGCTTCAGCTCAGGAGTTTGAGACCCGTCTGGGCAACATGGTGAAAATCCATCTCTACAAAAATTAGCTGGGCATGGTGGTGCATGCCTGTAGTCCCAGCTATTAGGGAGACTGAGGCAGGAGGATCCCTTGAGCCCTGAAGGTGGGTTTTGCACTGGGCCATGATGGCACCACTGCACTCTAGCCTGGGTGACAACAGAGGGAGACTATGTCTCAAAAACAAAACTGGCATAGAGGGAAGTGGGTCTCATTAGGCTGTGATTTTCTGGAAGAGTGTCTATGTCCTTAATGTGTGACTCCAGGTTAGCATTTTCTCTAGCAGTCTGTTCTGAAGCTTTCAGTGCAGGAGGTATGCTCATCTATAAAGCTCATTGTGTCTGCTGGCACTGAGGATGGAGGATGTTGATTTATTTCTCTGATATTTAAAAGGACAACAATGTGATTAAGGCATTTAAATAATTTTCTTAATTTATTTCTAGTTGTTTGCATAAAATACACAGTCTGTTAGTACATAATAAAGGTGATAAAGAACTGAAGGAGTTGGTTCCCCACCGCCCCACTTTTGGTTGTGTTACTTGGAGTAGATCATAGTCTAGTGCTTAAAAGGCTTTAAGTGTTCATTTTAATTTTACTTCTGTCGGCATTTTCTGTCCAGTAGTCTTAAATCTATGTGGTGATTAAAGGTATCAGAAACAATAGTGTCTGTCTTCAAAAAATTTTCCATGAATCTTTAACCAGCATGTATTTTGTCAGGCAGCATGGCACAGCAAGGAACCATGAGGAGTTCAGGCAGAGATGCATAAATGAGTGGCTGTAGGTATTCTAAGAAATCTACTGGACATGATTTTTTTATTCCTATATAGGATCTGGAAATTCTGTCAGAAAAAGGCATTTGAGTGATATCTTGAAGAGTAACCCATGGCTGGGCACAGTGTCTCATGCCTGCAATTCTAGTACTTTGGGAGGCCAAGGTGGGTGGATCACCAGAGGTCAGGAGTTCGAGACCAGCTTGGCCAGTATGGTGAAACCCTGTCTCTACGAAAAATACAAAAATTAGCCCGGTCTGGCGGGCACCTATAATCCCAGCTACTCGGAGGCTGAGGCAGGAGAATCGCTTGAACTTGGGAGGCAGAGGCTGTAGTGAGCCAAGATCATGCCACCGCACTCCAGCCTGGGCAACCCACAGGGCTTTTCTCAGGAATGCAAGGGTGGTTTGATGTTAGAAAGCTTTTATTGTGACTTACTGTATAACATAAAATGCTCATCTCCATAGAGGGAGAAAAGACATTTGATAAAATTCATTGCTTTTTTTTTTTTAAATTAAGGAAACACCCCATATTTATGGGATGTATGTGATATTTTGGTACATGTATTCAAGTTCATTGCTTTTTCTTCTTGGGAGGCTGAGTTGGGGAGGATTGCTTGAGTCCAGGAGTTTTGAGGTTACAGTGAGCTGTGATTGTGCCATAGCTTTCCAGCTTGGGTGACAGATTGAGACTGTCTCAAAAAAAGAAGGGCCGAGTACAGTGGCTCACACCTGTAATCCCAGCACTTTGGGAGGCTGAGGCAGGATTGCTTGAGCCCAGGAGTTTGAGACCGGCTGGGGCAACACAAAACCCTGTCTCTAAAAAAAAAAAAGTTTAAAAATTAGCCAGGTATAGTGGCATGTACCTGTAGTCTCAGCTACTCAGGAGGTTGAGGTAAGAGGATTGCTTGAGTACAGATGTTTAAGGCTGCATTGAACTGTGTTCATGCCAGTGCACTCTAGTCTAGGCCACAGAGTGAGACCCTGTCTTAAAAAACAAAACAAGAAAAATTCCTGCTTATTGATAAAACGTTAGCAAACCAGGAATAAAAGGGAACTTCCTAAATCTGTTGAAGGTTGTGTATCAGAAGCTTTCATCAAGGCTATGACTTACTGATGAAACTTTAGAAGCATTCTCTGTAGGCAGGGCGTGGTGGCTTATGTCTGTAATCGCAGCACTTTGGGAGGCCGATGTGGGTAGATCACTTGAGGTTAGCAGTTCGAGACCAGCCTGGCCCAACATGGTGAGACCCCATCTCTACCAAAATTTAAAAAATTAGCTGGGTGTGGTGCTATGTGCTTGTAGTCCCAACTACTTGGGAGGCTGAGGCAGGAGGTTGCAGTAAGCCGAGATCATGCCACTGCACTCTAGCCTGAGCTACAGAGCAAGACTCTGTCTCCAAAAAAAAAAAAGCATTATCTTACAATGTCTGTAATACCAGCATTTTGGGAGGCCTAGAAGGGCAGATCACTGCAGGTAGGGAGTTCGAGACCAGCCTGGCCAACATGGTGAAACCCTGTCTCCATTAAAAATATGAAAGTTAGCTAGGTGCAGTAGTGAGCGCCTGTAATCCCAGCATTTTGGGAGGCTGAGACTGGTGGATCACTGAATGTTGGGAGTTCGAGACCAGCCTGGCCAACATGGTGAAAACCTATCTCTATTAAAAATAGAAAAATTAGCCAGGTGTGGTGGCTCATTCCTGTAATCCTAGCACCTTGGAAGGCTGAGGCAGGATCATGAGGTCAGGAGTTGAGACCAGCCTGGCTAACATGGTGAAACCCTGTCTCTACTAAAAATACAAAAATTAGCTAAGTGTGGTGGCACTTGCCTGTAATCCCAGCTACTCAGGAGGCTGAGGCAGGAAAATTGGTGGAGCCCAGGATGCAGAGGTTGCAATGAGCTGAGATCACGCCACTGTACTCCAGCGTGGACAATAGAACAAGACTTTGTCTCAAAGAAAATACTAGCCAATATTATATAGGAATAAATAAAGTCGTCATTGTTTGCAGAAGTCTATGTAGCAAACTCAAGAGAATGTACAGAAAATATTTTAGAATTAATAGAGTTCACAAAATTGGTGGATGTAAAATTAACATACAAGTGCAGCATCAAAGAGGAAATATGATGTTAAAAAAGATATCACTGCCGGGCGCGGTGGCTCAAGCCTGTAATCCCAGCACTTTGGGAGGCCGAGGCGGGTGGATCACGAGGTCAAGAGATCGAGACCATCCTGGTCAACATGGTGAAACCCCGTCTCTACTAAAACTACAAAAAATTAGCTGGGCATGGTGGCGCGTGCCTGTAGTCCCAGCTACTCAGGAGGCTGAGGCAGGAGAATTGCCTGAACCCAGGAGGCGGAGGTTGCGGTGAGCCGAGATCGCGCCATTGCACTCCAGCCTGGGTAACAAGAGCGAAACTCCGTCTCAAAAAAAAAAAAAAAAAAAAAGATATCACTGGCCAGGCACAGTGACTGACGCCTGTAATCCCAGCACTTCGGGAGGCCGAGGTGGGTGGATCATGAGATCAGGAGATTGAGACCAGCCCGACCAACGTGGGGAAATCTCATCTCTACTGAAAATATAAAAATTAGCTGGGTGTGGTAGCAGGCACCTGTAATCCTGGCTACTTGGGAGGCTGAGGCAGGAGAATCGCTTGAACCTGGGAGGCAGAGTTTGCTGTGAGCCGAGATCACGCCACTGTACTCCAGCCTAGTGACAGAGTGAAAACTGTCTCAAAAAAAAAAAAAAAAAAGATACCGCTGATAATATAAACAAAAATGTCAGGTACTGCAGAATCAACATTATGAATATGCACGTAACTTTAGACCAATAACTGACATTTTAGCAGACCCCAATAAAGATATATGTAGGAAAATTCAAGCTTCTGAAGTTGTTAATTCTCTCATTAATAACCTATAAATTCAGTATAACTCTAATAAAACTTGCAGCAGGAATTTCTTAGCCCTGTGTAAGTGGATGCTGATGTGGCCATGTTTGAAGAGAGGCTTGGCCTGAGGACTTGCTCTACCATAGGAAGTTCTGTTATTTAAAATAGCAGTATTCGGCCAGATGCGGTGGCTCAAGTCTGTAATCCCAGCACTTCGGGAGGCGGAGGCAGCGGATCACCCTAGGTCAAGAGTTGGAGACCAGCCTGACCAACATGATGAAACCCCATCTCTACTAAAAATATAAAAATTAGTTGGGCATGGTGGTAGGTGCCTGTAATCCCAGCTACTTGGGAGGCTTAGGCGGGAGAATTTCTTGAACTTGATAGGACCTAGGTTGCAGTGAGCTGAGATTGCGCTATTGCACTCCAGCCTGGGTGACAGAGTGAGACTCTGTCTCATAAAAAATAAAATAGCAGTATTCATGCAGGGCAGTGTTATGGTCTAAGACGGGTCCCAGAACAGACTCTTGAGCATATGGACATGGATGGGAAGGGGCTGCAGGCAAGTTGGGTGGGATGTCTGCCCTGTACATGGTGCTGGGACCACTGGTGATTTATGAACTTGGTCAGCATGAGAGAGGAGCTTTGTTACCATGAGAGAGGGAAGGATTTCTTAATTAAGCCAAACTGATCACAGGCTACAAAGGAACTATATATGTTAAGATGAAAATCTGGGCCAGGTATGGTGGCTCATACCTGTAATCCCAGTACTTTGGGAGGCTGAAGCGGGAGGATTGCTTGAGCCACTGTACTACTACAGCTTGGGTGACAGAGACCCTGGCTCAAAACAATACAAAAAAATTCTTACGTGCCAAGGACGCCATGAACACAGTGAAAGGACAAATTCTGTAAAGAGCCCAAACAATTCTGAAGAAGAGGCAATTACAGAAAAGCCTGGAGAGCCAGCAAGTACATGAAGAGATGCTGCTCA